AATAAGACAAGTATACAGGATTTTTTAAAAAAAATTGTACGGATTGTACGGATTGTTTTTCGAAAATTGTACGGATTGTACGGATTTCTTCTGAAAATGTACGGATTTTTGTACGGATGGGTTCAGAAAAGTTTTGGCCACCCTGCAGTTAGTACAAGAAGAGGGATATATATCAGGTAGTACAAGAAGAGGGATATATATCAGGTAGTACAAGGAGAGGGATATATATCAGGTAGTACAAGGAGAGGGATATATATCAGGTAGTACAATGAGAGGGATATATATCAGGTAGTACAAGGAGAGGGATATATATCAGTTAGTACAAGAAGAGGGATATATATCAGGTAGTACAAGAAGAGGGATGAGTAATGAGTATAAATAGCAAGATTTTGAACTAAAAACAGATTCATTGATAATAGGAGAAGTAGAAAAAACAATTAAGTACAAGAAGGAAATTATAGAAATGAGAAAGAATTAAAAAAAGTAAAGGATGGTAGCAGACGGTAAGAGAAAGAGCGTAAACGTAAAAATAGGAAAATATGATATTGCTTGTTTTTGTTAGAATATGTTAAAAAGAGAATAATTATTAACTTTGTTCAGGGAGCTGGGAACGGATTAAAGGAGAGAGCTGAGGAGGAAGAATTAGAGGAATTCACTTCAAACCTTAGAACTCAACTAGAAATATTTGTTAACAGGTAATATACCATAGTTTACAGGTAAATACCTTGCTTTACACCTTGGTTTGTTATCAAATGTATGTACACCTTAATTTGGTAACAGGTTAAGGCTTTAGTTTGTTAACAAATTTATGCCTTAATTTGTAAACAGGCACTTTTTTCCTTCATTCTAAATTAAAGTAAATGCAATTTCCTTTTACATTAAGGCACCTATCACAAAGCTTTAAGTCCATATCTCTATCCTGATTTAGAAAGTTTATATTGGGCCTTATTTGTGGCCAGTAGGAAGTCCCTAAAACTCTAATGATTGATTGAATGAAACCGTTGCATTGTGCAAATATACTTCATCAATTAAACAGTTACCTATTCTCATTAGACAAGAATTTATTAATTTATTTATTTTTCAGGATGAAATCCAACTCTAGCCGAGGTCGGCCTATTGCTAATGACTCGAGTGTACAGACCTTGTTCATGAATGTAATGACGATGCACTCTAAGCTGGTGAAGAATATCCAGGATCAGGAGGAAGCTAGGGTTCATTACGAGGGTCTCCAGGTACCTGTTAACAGCAATAAATAAATTTAAAATTAAAGTTATTTTTATTTATTTAATTCCTTTAACAATTAGAATCTGTGTTTTTAGGTTTGTTTTGAGAATTTTATGCATATTTAACTTTTTACAGCGCGGTTATTTTTTAATTTTTAACGCTTTTGTAATGAACGTGACCCCCCTCCCCCCCCCCGCACCTCGCAATTACTTTTTATATCCATAGTTCAATTGGTTTTAAATTGTGATTTATCTATTTTAAGGACAAGCTGAGTCAAGTCAAGGATGCTCGAGCTGCCCTAGACGCTCTACGAGAGGAGGAAAAGGAACGGCGGAGACGCGAGGCGGAAGAGGCGGAGAGACAGCGACAGCTACAGATGGCGCACAAACTGGATCTAATGAGGAAAAAGAAGGCGGAATATCTTGAGTACCAGAGACAGGTGAAAAAAAGAAATGATGTGCTTTAAGACATTGAATTTAACTGATCTCAACGTTTATTTATTTATTTTTTTTTTCAATTTTTAATTTTTATTTTTAGATTGCACTGCAGCGAATGGCGGATCAGGAAAGAGAGATGCAGAAAAATCAGGAGATGATTAAACAGAACTATTTAAACCAGCAACAGGGTATGTACAACATGTACCTACCCTACGGATACATACAACAAGGACAACAGCTTTCTGGTCAGGTTCAACCCGGACAGATGATGCCTTCCGGACAAATGATGCCTCCTGGACAGATGATGCCACCGGGACAGATGATGCAACCAGGGCATATGATGCCTCAGGGACAGGTGATGCCACCAGGTCATATGATGCCGCCAGGACAAATGATGCCGCAAGGACAAATGATGCCGCAAGGACAAATGATGTCACAAGGGCAAAGAATGCCCCCTGTACAGGGAACAGCTGAAAATCAGATGTATACCGGACCAAGAGAACCCCAGAGTGGGTATAATCAACAGTTTTATTCGTCCAACCCCAACTCTGGAGCATACCCGGAGAGCGCGTACAACATGCAGGGTCTTGCTGGAGCTCTTCCCAACCATCATCAGCAGCCAGGATTACAACCTGCTCAGGGTCAAAATATGACTGGACAAGAACATCAGAGCTCCGGTCCACATGGAGTAGGACCAGGACAACAGTCCTCAGGTCCTAATATGATGGTCCCCGGACCACCCATGATTCCTGTTCAAGGTCCACCTATGCCACAAGGACATCAGTCCCTTCCGAATTTAAGTCAGCCGTCTGAACCGTCAAGTTTACAGGGAAACCCGGAGCAGAACTTTGGAAACCAAGAAACCACGCTTATATCCTTTGACTGATGTGCTATCACTTATCAGCTTCTGGCCTGATGTAAAGAGGAGCGAAGGCTACCCTTCAACCTTATTCAAAAATATTTACGCAGCTTAGCGATCATTAATATGAAAATGCATTTTTTTTGTTATTTGATGTAGGTTTGATTGATTTTGCAATCCTTCTTCACACTTTTAAAAACTGAAATTAAATGAGAGAATTAATTATTTAAGCCTAGAAGAAAAACTCAATAAGATATTTGATTGTGAAGTATAAGCCTGATTTTATTTTATCTTATTATTATTAACGTGAAATGTGAGATCTACTAATAAATTAAAGTTTATCTGTGATTTTCTGTTTTAAAGATTAAAAATTTCATTTATTAATTAAATACTGGTTTTATCCAGTAAACAATGGAAATATTCAAATATTCCGAACTGTTATTCTAGAAGTCGACAAACTAGTATATTTATTATTTTATCCATATTCTACATACATGTGATTCATTGTACAGTAGGCATCATGTAAAGGGGTATTTGTATATTTGATTTGGGGAAGATGATATTTCAGTGAATAATAAAATGTTTTGATGGAGATCAATAAAAATATTCTGTATTAATATTCCAGATGGAGGATGGGGGAGGGCCCAGTTGGTCCCCGGATAACACCAGGTAAATACAAATCTTGATACAAATAATCAAGAGTTAATTTTTTGCTTCATAACTCCTATTTTTTCCCTAACCGTATTTGTGATTTGACTTGTTTTTTGTCGCGTGGTTTTAACACCCTTGCTTTTTGCGACCAGGACTTAACAGTTTTGCGACCAGGTCTAAAAGTAAAATTATTTTCCCGTTAGATTTTAATGATTATGATACTTTCTCGTTGATTTCTCATAATTAGGATACTTTCTTGTTAATGTCTTACAATTAGGATACTTTTTCATAAATGTCTCATTATTAGGATACTTGTTCATTAATGTCTAATTATTAAGATACTTGCTCGTTAATGTCTCAAAATTAGGATACTTTCTCTTTAATGTCTCAAAATTAGGATACTTTCTCGTTAAGGTCCCAGAATCAGGATGTTTTCTCGTTAAGGTATCAGAATCAGGATATTTTCTCGTTTAGGTCCCGGAATCAGGATATTTTCTCGGTTAGGTCCCAGAATCAGGATATTTTCTCGTTTAGGTCCCAGAATCAGGATCAAGAAGATGAGCTGACCATTCCTCGTGCTGCCATGAACAAGATGATTAAGGAGATCCTCCCTAATATCAGAGTTGCAAACGAGGTCTTTCTATTAGATTTGAGAAAATATTTTTTTTAATTGATTAATTTTGCTGTAATAAAGTTTAACTTTTGTGAAAAAAAATTTGGATGAGAGAAAAACCAAAAAAATGTTTTCATCTTGGTATAGACATTTTAGTTTCCAGGCAAAGCTGGGTTCTTAAACTAGTAGAGAACACTGTAAACTTAAAATAGGAAAACGACTTTAGACCTAAAGTATGATTTTTAATAGTTCAATGAACATTAGACACAGCAATTGTTCAGTGTAAGCAGACCAATTTAATTTATTGGAATATTAGTGAAACAACATGCTTTGTAACAACATCAAATACAGTTAATTATTGTTATTTTTGTATTTTCATATTCCAGAGTTTTCTGGTTCTCACTGTATAATACCTCAAGATGGGAAACAATATCACAAGCTTAAATGGGACTGTAAGCGTAATTCCAAGTGACCCTTCATTAAATGTTGGCAATGCTTGATTCACAAAGGTACCCCTGAAACCTTGATCTGATTAATAAGAAGGATCGTTTTCAAGCTTGAAAAAGGTTTAAATCTGACAATTCCTACATGTTTTTTCTGCAGTAGAAATGCGTAGGTCACTTTTGTGAAGAAACCATAATTTAAAATAATGAGATTTCAAAATTAACTAATTTCTTATCTTTTCTTTGATCAGACAAAGTTATTCCGAGTACCAGTTTAAACCGGACATTGCCCTTGACGTTATTTTAAACTAATGATTATTTTCAGGCTCGTGAACTGGTTCTAAGCTGTTGTACAGAGTTTATTCATCTAGTTTCTAGTGAAAGTAATGAGGTAAAGAAGTAAAAATAATATTTTTCTATATATATAAATATGGCTTGTCTGTCTACTCAAATAACGTCGAAAAGGATGAGCGATAGGGCTCAAATTTTGTGTGGCAACTCATATGTCAGGGTTCTGGATTAAAAATATCGTCTGAAAAAAAAGTCGATTTTTTGATTTAATAGATATTCAATGTTTACAGAAAACTCTGCATAATTTTAAGTTTTATAATTATGAAGAAAAATAGCCGCTTGAAAAGCTTATAATGTTGCTAACAGAAGGGCCTGAAAGACTAGTTTTATATTACCGAACCATCATAATCAACAAATATGTATTGTTATCAATCAAAATTAGTTAAGACTCTAAATTGATTTTTTGATTAAATATTCAGGTATGCAACCAGCAGCAGAAGAAGACGATATCTGCTGAACATGTTTTTGCTGCGCTCCACAAACTTGGTTTCGGAGATTTTGTGAAGGAAGCAGAAGAGGTGGGAGCCATTTTGTTTTTCGTGACTGAAATGAAATAAAACACGTTTCAACCTTGTAATATTTAACCATTTTAATCGTCACTTTGTTATTTATTTTTACATACTTTTGTTCTTATTTGAGTTTAAAACCAGCGGTAAAGTTTTCGGTATGCTTGATATTTTTCAATTAAGGTTCTCTCCGAGTGCAAGGAGTCCGCCGCTAAACGAAGAAGACAGAGTACGCGACTAGAAAACCTTGGTATTCCAGAGGAGGAGTTGCTCCGACAACAACAGGAGCTGTTTGCCAAAGCCAGAGAAGCAGAAGTTATGAAAGAGCAGGCTCAGTTAGCTGCTGTGGGACAAGCAGCACAGTTTGCTGCTGTTTCTAGCGGGGCCGAAGATTATTCGTAGAGTACTGTTTTTTTTTTTACCTTTATACACAGATATATATTATAAACATACAGCAGAATTTAAACATTGAATTTTAGCATTTTTTTACTTCCATGCATTGAAAACCTAGAAAACTAAATGTTGACACAGAAAATGTTATGCCTTTTTCAACTACCAAACACGCCTGGTTATTAGATAAATTGTGATGAATATAAGTATACAAAGCAATATAGAAATAAAATACATTCGCTAGAAATTACTTCATATTTAGTGCGACTCGAAATCAAATAAATTATCAAGTTCAATGGGTGGCATCGAAAAATACACATATTTATTTACCTCACTGATGACATTGCTATTTTAATAATCTATATACAAATTTGGCTTGTCTGTCTGTTTTGGTGTCTGTCTGTTTGTTTGTATCCAATAAACGTCAAAACGGCTGAACCGATGATAAAAATTTAAAAAAATGTGTTTAAAAGGTTTTTAATTTTGTAAAAAAAATTAATTCTTGAAAATCTGCGAATTTTTTTTAAAAATCCGCAAAATATTTTTCTTCTTTGTTTTAAAATGTAAACAAAAAGAACATGCTCACACTTAAAATAGAAGATGGGCGCGCAGCGCCCTAAAAGTCTAGTATAAATACATTTTGTTTAACGTGAAAAAGTCAAATTTGCGAGGTTAAAAGTGGGTTGGAATTCATATTCAACGTCACAAATGATGTCTTGAGTAATTTTCCTTATAAATTTCATTGTGGCCTATTGTACTTGCTTATCTATTTGTTAACATAGTTCTGAAATTATTGACAATAACGTTTATGAATTTGTTATGAATGCGTGTATTCTGTATTAGCTCGTATAGGCCCATAATAAATCCTAAAATTGGTTAAAAATAAATATACTTAGTCAAATTTTAGAATGTCTTCTTCTGCAATATTCGTGCGTCATTTTGGAAACATTAATTATATTTCTTCTAATCCTATTATTTTTGTACAGGGTGTCCCAAAAAAACATGGGAATTCAGTGACGAATTCGATATCGTCTTTGTTATGAATTAGCATTGTAATACCTAATTTCAAAAGCAATAATATTATTATGTCTGCTAGAGTTTATTTTATGAAAACGGTAAAAGACTGTAAAAATGTGTCTATAATGTCTCCGCACGATGAACAGTGAAGACGGACAAGTTTACTCTGTTTGTAAACTGCAATTTTCTTGTTTTACTAAGTACAACCGTATTAAGTCAAAACATAAACAAACAAATTGTAAACATAGCAGACAAAACTCTTACAGATTACAGCTTTCTCATTAGGTATCACTATACTAAATCAAAGAATTATTTAAAAAGACGACATTGAATTCGTCACTGAAACCCATGTTTTTTGGGACACCCTGTATTTTAAGTTAATTCAATCAACAAGATACTGATTTCGGAAAGAAGTTAAGGCTTGCTAAATCCTAATGTCGTAAATATTAGATATTTCAAACTATGAATTTTGTATTATTTAAATTTAATTCCTTGGTAAAAACTTAGGGTAAATACTTGGTAGTAGGAACACACTCACACTACCATCAGAGTCCGAATTTAATGAATTTTAGCCGTGTCTTAAACCCCTCAAAAACCGGTTACAATTGAGCACCGCGCCGGCTTAAATCTGAAACATTGAATACCATTTTAAGTGGAACCAACCATATTTGAGCCGCGGCTCAAATTCTTTGAATTCGGTCTCAGTTTGCTCAGTTAAAAAAATTTAAACTTTGGAAAAAATATATTTAAACAAATAACAAAAGATCGGATAGAAATAAAATAGTTTATTTTTAAAATATTTCACTCTATATATAAAATGATAAAGTTCATGACGACTAAAACTTGAAATAAAATTTGTACATCGTTTATAGAATAAAATTAGCATACATCAAGGTGTAATACAATTCTGTACGTTAATCATACACTTTTCAAACAGCAAATAAATTATGTACATCGTATACATAGACAATACACATGAATTACATAAATGCAATGATTCTGCATTGGTCCTTGAAGAAAGATGCAATCGGCTATCCTGAAAATGGAAGAAAAATAATTATATATATAATCTAAAAGAAAATATTTTGATCTAGATTTGAAAATGGAAACCTGTGTAATCAGCCGACTAATCCTTCTCCCTCTTTTTTGTGATCTAGGGCCAAACCTTGTTAAAGTATTCCATGAATGAATCGTAGATCATGAACGTGATTGCAACATCAAGACAAACTCTACTCATCCGCGGCATGGTTCCCTTGTAGAACGCCCTAGGTCCCTCGTTCACCATGATTTGTCTAAAATAAGATTTTGTCATTTAGGGAAAGGAACTGAATACTTGCTTCAAACGCCAGCTTTCTATAATCCTTTTTTTTGCAACCTGATGGTGTAAACCTGTGATAATTCTAACGTTGACTAAAAGATCTAGCAGAATTAATAGTTTGAAATATCAAAGCTGCAAAGTTAAAGAGATAAGAAAGAAAAGTAGAATTTGAGGCCAGTATTCAGTTCATCGATGAAAGGTTAACTAACCATCTTAATCTAATTTTATCAAAATATACGATATAAAGGAACTACTCGCGTAATTACAAGTGACCCTCCATGCAAAGACGGCAATGTCCGATTTACAACGGTCCCTTAAAATTTTTTCTGATCAAGTATTATGCTCCATGTTTTTGTTTTTCTGAAAACTGTTTATTTTAATTTGTGGTTTCTCTGCAAAACTGACTTGCACATCCCTTGCTTATAAGAAACAATGAAGACATTATCAGAATTAAATACTTTCCGAGTCTCAATGAGGACAATGTTTCTCTAAATTATGACAATATTTTGTCTGAATTATGACAACTTCTGTTTACAGATTCACGTTTTAAACTTTTTTCAAGGGTATTATTGTCAGTCGGGCATTGTCATCTTTGCATGTGGGTCACTTGGAGTTAATCACGCTTACAGTCCCTTTAAAATGTTTTTAGACGAATATTAAAAGACACAAATTATACGTACTTGGCACAATCAAATGTGTTCTTATATCTTGCTGCGTCTAAGCTTTGCATTCTTGTCTTAACCACGTCCAGTGGTGTATTCCCCAGAACACTGGCGGCTCCAGCAATACCACCAAACAGTCCAACCAGTAGTTTAGGAACCTTCTTAGTTGGATCTCCTTCTCTATACCAGTCCTTCAGGGTTTCTATCACGTAGAACCTATAATAATTGGGGAGTCAATAAACAAATCATGGTATCTGTTCAGTAGCGTCTATACAGGAGTCAAGGGACAGTTCATGGTATTCGTTCAGTACTTTCTGTGCAGGAGTACTAATGTCTGTTCAGAAGTAAAAAGATCGGGCATGGTATCTGTTCAGTTTTGTTAAGGGACAGTTCATGAAATACTTTTAAGTATCTACACAGAAGTAAATAGGATAGTATTGCAAGACTTTTTTGTTTTTTTTTTCATTCAATATAAAATTTCTTCCTCCCCTACCTTTGAATCCAATGATTATTTACCTGATGGCCTGGTTACTGCCTTGTTTCATGATGGTAGGCGTAATACCCTTATAGGTACCAGCAATGCCTTCTTTGGCAATTATGGTTCGCACTCCATGGAAGAACCCCTGAAAAACATACTTAAATAAGACTGTAGGATTTATATATGGTAATGGTTACTGTAAATTTTAGATGTTTTAATCTCCAAAGGATTGTGATATTTGACAATTCTAGGGGGTATTCTGATCTTAAACTAAGGGATAGCTGCCCTCATACACAATAGGTTTTCTGACCTTAAATAATGGGTTTGCTGACATTTAGCAATGGGTTTGCTGATTTTAAAATATGGGTTTGCTGACCTTAAATAATGGATTTTCTGATCTTAAACTATGGGTTTGCTGACCTTTAACTATAGGTTTGCTGACCTTTAACTATAGGTTTGCTGACCTTAAACTATGGGTTTGCTGACCTTAAATAATGGATTTTCTGATCTTAAACTATAGGTTTGCTGACCTTTAACTATAGGTTTGCTGACCTTTAACTATAGGTTTGCTGACCTTAAACTATGGGTTTGCTGACCTTAAATAATGGATTTTCTGATCTTAAACTATGGGTTTGCTTTCCCATATCCTGTGATGTGAGCTTCCCGAGGGAATCTCTAATCCCTCAGTTGGATGGATCAGATCCTTCCCTAAGTCCAAACCATCTTTCATGGATCCAACAAATCTACCACTGAATCTAACCTATCACCCTACTCCAACTCCTACAGTATGGATTTTCTGATCTTTAACTATGGGTTTGCTGACCTTAAACGATGGGTTTGCTGATCTTAAACTATGGGTTTGCGGTCCTTAAACTATAGGTTTGCTGACCTTAAACTATGGGTTTGCTGATCTTAAAATATGGGTTTGCTGATTTTACACTATGGGTTGGCTGCCCCTTACACTATAGGTTAGCTTCCCCTTAAACTTTGTGTTTGCTGACCTTAATCTATGGGTTTGCTGAACTTAAACAATGGGTTTGCTGATCTTAAAATATGGGTTTGCTGATCTTACACTATGGGTTGGCTGCCCCTTACACTATGGGTTAGCTTCCCCTTAATCTATAGGTTTGCTGATATTTAGCTATGGATTTTTTTAGCTGACCTTTAACTGTGATATTGCTGACATTAAAGTATGAACTAGCTTACCTTAAACTGTGGGTTGGCTGACCGTTGGTCGGAGATGAATTTGACCTTGATGGTCTCCATAGGGGTGACGGCTAGAATAGCTTCAGATACTCCTGCTCCTAACCCGCATAGTAGACGTGCTCCCGGAGACAGGTTTCCCTAGGAACAGAGGGTTTCAATCTCGAGGTTTTAGTTTAAAGGGACTGTATGCGTAATTTCAAGAGACCCCCCCATACACATGGCAATAAAAGCTTTATATCTGATCAAGTATTAGTGAGATACGCATGATTTTGTTTATTTAAACTGTTTATTTTCATTTGAGCGTGTTCTCTGCGGAAGTAACGACGGTATCGTCCACATCTTCAATCGGATTAAGGTACAATTTTTAATCTGGCATTGCCATCTTTCCATGAAGGGTCACGTGAAATTACGATTGAAGTTCCTTTATGAATGAAAAGTTCATCATTAAGTAAACATTTTTAAAGTCTAATTCCAAATTTTTATTTTATGTTTGTTTGTGCGATATGCATTTATGGGTAAGGATCAGGGAGTTTCCTTATCAAAATCAGATTCTATTATGAACGTACTTATATGTAATGCTGATAGGGTACAACTGGAAAGGTTGATCAGATAAGTTTAAACATGGGGTAGTATGTGTCTATCTATAATCTATATTTATTATCTCTGTTTGTTTGTTTGTATGTCCGAGCATAACTCATGAACCCCCTTGAACGATGTGCCTCAAATTTTGATTGCGGAGCTCGGTAGAACCTTGGAAATGTTCTGATTAGAATTTTATATATTTAGACAAAACTGGGTTTCTGAGCTAGTATTGTATATGATAAATTACTGAATACTAAGTATATTTTATTAATAATTTGATCATACATTTCTTTTATTTACTAACCATGAACTTCTTTTACAAATATCTACAATTTCTATATTAATTTGACAGATTAATCTGAAAGAGGGGATGAGAAGGGGGNGGGGGCTAAGAATATGGAATTCTACACTAGTCTTGGTTGGGCTGGTTTTGAATTTCACCAAAAACTATATGTTTAACTATTTTAAATACAAAACAAAGGCAAAACTTTTGTGTTAAAAATCGAGTTTTTAAAACACAGAGGTTAAATTTTAAAATTGGTAAATGGTACTATTTAGATAATTTTTAATATACCTTCTCATCCACGGCATGCTTCTTGAACTGCTCAAAAGCTCCGAACCTGACCGCAGACTTGGGTATACTTCCGTACAGTAGTACAGGGAGTCCTCTGTACAGTCCTCGTACACCATGTTCAGCTACAGTTTGCCGACTACAGTCTACTATACCCTTGTACTTACCAACCTTAACATTAATGTACATACAATATACATACATGTTTAACATAATTACAACTAGGGGTACCCTAGTTACTCGGGAGGTGGGGGGGGGGGTTAGAGGCGCCTTTCTTTTTTGTGAAAATGGAAATTTACATTTCAGAAAAAAGGAAAAGTGGTAAAAATTAAATGATTTACTCAAATAAATTCTAATAATTCATTTCTAAATATTGCCAAACTCACCCCGTTTGCCTTTTTGGTCGCTTTGGATAAACTATTATTTAACGATAAAGCTAGCTATCTAATTATGAATTTACAATCAAAACGGAAATTTTATCTCTTCATTGATGAACACAATAAATAGACGTTTACGGTAATATTGCTAAGATTTTGATACAAAACAAACGTAATAAGCTGGCGATCGCACAGTTTTATTTTAGATAGTTCAAATGCTATAATCAAATAGAGGGCTGAAAAGAGGGGGGGCCGAATAATCAGGATTATCAGGAAAGAGATCTGAAAGCCCCCCCCACCAGTTTGGAGAACAACTACAAGTACAGAAACTTAATTTACCTTTTCATCTAACTGTAACTGTGTCTTGACATATTCAGTAGGGTAGGTTATACATATCTCTATACCTCCTGTTATACCTCCTGCTATTATACCCTTTAGCATCTAAATATTTAATTACAAATAATAGCTTAGCTGCAGATTTAATCCATATAAGAATTAGTTAAACACATTTAACCTGATTCAAATTAGTTCTGTCAAGTCAATTCACGATGAAAATTATTATGCCCCTTTATATAAACCAGTACCCCCCCCCCCCNGCGGCTGGACCAAATGAGTTGAAATTGTTTGTGGACACTCAGGGGTAGTCTGGGAGTGACATAGGCTAAAAAATCGAATTTTAAATTTCTTATTATTTTTTAAAAACATTTTTTTTTCACGGGCAACGCCGGGCCTTCCAACTAAGTAAAACATAAATTTAATAGACATAAGGATATTTTTAAAGGAAATTTTTACCCTGACGGTTAAGATTAAAATGAATGATAACAGATTTCATTACCTTATTACCAGATGGAGGGGGTGGAGCTGTAGCTGCTGCTCCGCCTCCCATCATGTGAGGGCGCAAAGGGAAAGGGTGGGACAAGGAAGAGCTGCTGTATGGGTGGGAAAGGGGCGTGGCATGCGTAGGGGTGGAGAAGGGGGAGGGGAACAGTCGTTCCATGAGTCTAGGATCTATGTCACTCATGTCTGAAATAAAAAGATAACAGTTCAGTTTACAGTGATTAACAGTAAAATATTTGTCAGTACTAACTTGTTTTTAAGTAAATAAGTCTCCAAAAACATGAGATCTAATGCCTTTTTATTTATAATGGTAAATACTTAAAATCAAGAATGAGCTATTTTTTGATAAAAAATCACCACTAAGTTCGTAATTTATAGTCTTTTAACCAATTCTATTAAACTTTACTAAAGATCAAGTTAACATCAAATGTTTGATTTGTTTTACATTAATCGTACGAAATAACATTTTAACATCAAATGTTTAAAAGATTAAGTTTACATAAATTTTACTAAGGAAAATCTACTATACATGGATAAGATCAGATAAGGTTAATTGTACTAAACATTAACTATCTTCAAAATCGAATGAACACCAAGTGTACTTACTATAAAGATCAAGTTAACACCAACTGTACTATTAAAGATCAAGTTGAAGCTTTGAATCAACAAATTCTGATAATCTTTAGTATGAATGTTACAGGCCACAATGCACATGTTCAAATAAAGTTTATTTTTATTAAAGAGTTGATTAGAACTGAGCTATATTAAGTTCTGTGTTGAGATAAGAAGTTTACCCTGGACAGCAGATACTAGACAGGTAGCTTGAGAATATATAAGAGTTAAACTGAATATATTTCACAGGAAATTATTAAATGAAAGCAAGGAAAACACTTGTTGCTCTTCTAGCTAAAGATAGGTAGATAAATCGTAAGATAGAGAGAGATGGAAGGGCTCCTTATAACGCTTAATTTTATTTCTTAGGAATTTAATATGAAGTGCTGAATAGAAATAGAATGAATTTAGTAGGGAATATGCTTAAAGGGCCAATACACAAACATGATCACTTGGATTAATTGTATTGTAAAAATTGTTATTAATAGAGATGCCTAGTAACAAAAGCAACACCAGTGAAAATAAACTGGTTAAACCTGTATGTATAGGATTTCATGATGCCATGCATACCTGACTTAGCTCCCCCCCCCCCCCCCTCTCCACTAAATTTTTTACCCCCCCCCCCCCCTCCTTCATACCATATTTTCCACCTCCCCACTTCATGACCTTACATTATTATTATCTCAAAATATATCCTAAACAATTCTTTTAATTTGCTGATACTTAATTGTAAATAAAATATGCGCAAATTTGAAATTTGTTAGGTCAACAAACTAAAATTTATAAAATGTTCACTATACACAATAATTTGAATACAATTATTTTATGTCTTTAAGTATTTTATCTACTAATTAATTTAGAGATAGATGTTTAGAACCACAGACAAGACATATCTAATCTGTGGTTAGAACCAGTTTGCTACAAGTTCAAAATTAATTTAAAACAAATCAAATTCATGACTTTTTACATACACTAGACAGAATACAGAAGAAAAGCAATTAATTATGATAAAACTAAATTATGTTTCACTTCCATTAAAAAATAATCTTGAACTTTTATCACTAAAACTCCTGTCATGTAATTAGCTTGTTTTTCACTGCCTGTCCTTCTCAAAGCTTAGGTGGAAGGATCCAACAAATATTGGAATTAAACTAACTGCGTAAATCATGTGTGAGTTGGAAGGAGGAAGAAAGAGAACTGCCTGTGTTGTGTACACAAGTTCTGCACATGATGTATTCAATAACCCTAAACCGTCGGGAAGATATGTTATTTGTCCCCCACCCCTAAAAAAAGTTTGTAATTCACCCCTTAAAAGAAAAATGTAAACAGAGTTTAAGTAATTCAATGTTTTTGCTGCAGAAATCTAGTATTTGCAAAGGTATTTAGAATGTAATGTGTATTTGTCCACCTGTTTAAGGACATTATATGACACTGGGGGACGGGGTTTGTGTAAATTATATACTATAGTATAAAAGTGGTTAAATTTTAAACTAGTTTGGTCGTAATCAATAACCATAATTGTGAACTAGAAGGGCCTGATTACTGCAGTTATAACCTTGTTTAATGTTTATTTCAATACATTTATAGCAGCTGAGAAAACGCTGGTTCATTTTGCTCTCTTCTAACTATTACTATACATAAGCTATTATCTGAAGACGTGCTCTAAAGCTTTCAAAAGCTATTGTTATCCTATGCTTTTTTTGGAATGAAAAAAATGACATTAAATATTGAAGAAATGAGAACTCAATTTTTATCACAAACTCAAATTTTCTAATCCTTATTTCTTTGCAACGTAATGGTGTAGTCCGTTGATATTTCCAATTTAGATTATTCTTCAACAGAATTGACAGTTTGAAATATTAAAGGTCTACGACATCGGAATGCAAATACATATAGTTAGAGAAAAGAAGAGTTTGTGATAAGAACTTGCAGTTCCTTATAACTTACGAGGTGTATTTCTCAAGAATGCGAATTATTTTGTAATTTCTTAATTTTTTGGAGAATATCCGTAATTAATAGCTTGTTGGAAATGGATTGTTACAGTTCGATTGAATTATAATATAATCTGCTGAGTAGGAAACTCAGTCTTCCACATGCAATTGAGTAGAACCAAATCAGGGTGGTACCCCATCCATCAAGTTCAAGAGCCAGGCCAGCTAGGGCGGCCCAGTAAAAATTGTTCAGAGGTGCTCTTTTTCTTTTTAATAGATATATATGAAACATTAAAAAAAAAATTTTACCATTATTTCTGTAGCCGTCAGAAAAACATGATTTTTTGGCCTTTTTTTAATTTGAGTTATAAAATAATCGTTAAATCTTCAGTTTTTAATTTATAATGACGTTTTATATCATTTTGTAAATCCCAAATAAGCTGTTCTAAAAGACAATTTTTTAAGAATTACATTGTTTTAAAATTCGTCAATATATTAGAAAATTTAGCTGCAAAATCGTCGATTTTTCTACTACGCAATTACACCCTAAGAACACCACCTTGAGAATTTAAAAAATATTTTTTACATTTTTTCTGTTTTCTGTATGGTGTAAATGTTTCTAAAATGTGCTTATTAATTCATATATCTTCAGAAATGGCCGACCTATCAGCATTTTTAAAAAAAACTGTTGGCTTGGCTCTTGTACGGATTCGGTGGTTCTACTCAATTGCATGTGGAAGACTGAGTTTCCTACTCAGCAGATTTTTTATAATTCAATCGAACTGTAACAACATTACATTTCCAACAAGCTATTAATGACGGAAATTCTCCAATAACAACAAATTACATTAAAACTCGCATTCTTGATCAAACACACCTCGTAAATTAAAGGTCTGCGACATTGTGTCGCAACTCGCAATGAATACAGTGATTAGAAAAACAGAGTTTGTGGCAATAACTCAGTTCCTTTGAATAGAATTTGTACAGTTGCTCAATCTTATCCTTTTGGTACACTGGGGCATGGTTCTCCTATATATAAATTAGATATCTATGAAGGTTATAGTTTGCAAGTATCAGTTTTTTATAGTTTTTTAATTTGTATGGGTTACCCACACAGAGTAAGTTTGCAATGACGACCATAAACTCCGTGAATATCAATTTTGAATATTGAATTTGGTCCTTTTTCTTGTAAATATTATTCTGTTTCTAAACTTTCTAATTTAAAAATGAAACAAACTAGCGAAGAGCTCCCGGAAAACCATGAAAGTGAGATTAGAAAGATTAGATAGACTCTCTGCAGTCGTATCTTAAGTCTCGTCATTTGTGCAGGTAAACCCTGTACAATGTACATTGTACATATTGCATATACCCTTTCATACAGTAAATACATGATAAAACCTGTAAAATCAAATTATCTTAACTTTCCAATTTTATCAGCTAGCAGTGTTTTAATCCCCTAGATAAATTATTCATGTATATCTATGTTTAATCCTTTCTTTTCATACAAAGGTTAAGAATTTTGTACTCGATCAATGAGAAAACAGAGAAATTGGGGATATCCAAAATCAAGAGATCAAGCATATTCTGCGGAAAGTTCAAAAGTGCCCATGTTGGATATCGGAATGGTAGATGTAGGTATCCAACACAAAAGTTTCTAGCTCAGTGTTCACATATCTTGGTGGACTTCCACGAAATTTAACTTAATCGTTTTAATTTAAACGATTATAAATGGATATCAAGTTCAGTCTGTGCGGCTTAGCGCCTTCCCAACCAAAAGGTTTAGCCTCAGGATCGGTAAATAATGCAGGAACAACATTAACGCCGTCCTGAATGAGACGATTTTACAATGTATTAGAGATTTTAAAGTACATTTTTTTGTAGCAATGCTTTTGTGTAATTGATGATGTTATAACTATAAAACTATTAGCTTATACATAATGTTAACAGTTTTACTAGTAAGATATTAGATCACTTATTTAGTGAAACAGGTCTGTTTACATTGCACAATTGCTGCATGCCTCATGTTCATTTGACATTCTTAAGTCAGAACTTAATGTGTCTAAAATTCGACCTCCTTTTCTTTTCCAAATTTTTTGTGCTTCAATTATCTCAAGAACAGGCAGAGTGGCCCATTAAACATCATTTCTTGGGAATTTTTTTGTTTTGTTCCTTAAATGTTCTGATGCCATGAAGAGAAAAATAAAAATGTTGTTTCGATATATTAAAACTGAGTAAACTTGATAAAGTATAATATTGTAAAATTAGAAAACACTATTAAAATTGAAAATATGTCTCATGCTGTATTTATACCGCGTCTGCAGTCTGCACGTGTACAATAATTTGTCTTATTCGGCGCTAAATGATGAAACGTATTTAAATCTTTCATAAAATCATTATTTATTCTTAAATCCATCCCCCCCCCCCTCGTTCACACACGAATCTAAACAACCATATAACTCTATAGTCTGCAAACTTTAGTCTTATACTCCTATACATACCTGGAGTGTACGAATGAATCTTGAACCTAGAACTAAACACATGACCGAGGTTGTCTTGTATATCCATGAACCAGACTCTAGAGGCTGTGTCATGAGATTACGGAGGCTCCACACTGACGTCATGAGACTCTGGAATTCATGATATTATTCTCATGACTAGAAATCATGTGTGAATTGGATTCATACCGGGAGGACCACAATATATATGAAAGAAAACCAAGTCGTCTTCTAACGATTATAAAACCAACAAACATAAATTAGCAATATCTGATTTTATTCTGAAGAATAGAGATTGGCATATTTTTCAACCGTTTTTAAAACATTTAAGCTGTTTTTTGACATTCCCTATAAAAATCTACGGTAGAAACCAGAAAATAAAGAATTGGATGACGACATTATACAATACTTCAGTGTATTTGATGTTGTTACTAAGCAAATAGTTTCACCAGAATCACTGAAAAAGTAAAATGGGTCTTTTTACTCTTCGCAATTGTTGTGTCTTGTGTCAGTGGTCTTTTTAAACTAACAACTTGAGTCTAAAAGTCGTCTTCCTATTTCAGAGTTTTCTGGTTATTAACAAAATTCAAAATTTTATGCTATAAGTTTTTTTTTCTATAACTGCGCGAACTGATTGACTTGCAGAGAGAAGGTAATCAATGTTTTAACGAAGTAAAAACAATCGTTAACGAACAATATGAAAACTTGTTCAGGTTTATGTATACATGTTCTGTCAAAGTCAGCAATCTGCTTAGTGTAATAAAAGCAAACTTTTAATAGCATACAATTTTTAATTATGTTTAGATTTTATCTGAGTCTCTAGATAGCCAAAAATCCTAAAAAAAAACGATGCCAAACGTCATTGATTCTGAGCGACTATAAACCATATTTGTGGGTCTAAGGTCCTGCAAAAAGTAGGCCCAGTCGGTTCAATCGTTTCAATGTGTTTCGAAAACAAGCAGACATTAGTATGTATATGTAAAGAAGATTTGTCTAACAAATGCTAAATAGGAATAAAGAGTTCCAAATATAATGCATTACATTTTTATTGAATAAAAGCTAAATTGAGTCTTTGTCACAAACTTAAATTCTCTAATCCCTGTATCTTCGCAACCTGATGTTTTGAACCTTTGATATTTCAAACCTATCAAACTTATTATTTGATTTAACAGAATAGTTTGAAATATGTAAGGTCCACAACATTGGGTTGCAAATTGCAAAGATAAGAAATCAGAGTTTGTGACAAGCAATTAATTCCTTTGTAGATTGTTTTTGAAGATTAGAACAACAACTACAGAACGTAACTTCATTCAAATGCTCAATGTATTGTTTTTTTTTTATGCTCGAATTGTTAGTGGAGTTAGTGTTGGTAATAGCACATTTATTCCGTTTTTATACATTTTAGGTTTTTAATACTACTAAAATCTTTAAAGCAGTATCTGTGAAATTATCATATTGAAGAATATATAAGTTTAAAGGAACTGAGTTCTTATCACAAACTCTTATTTTCTAAACGCTATGTCTTTGCATCTTAATATCGTAGACCTTAGATATGGAAAACTATAAATTATAGATTAAATGTTTGAATATTTGAAATATCACTTTTAGGTTTCAAAAACATAGGACTAAGAAAATTTGAGCTTCAATGGTTTTAAAAAAAATTTAGGACCGTCCCCATTAAGCATTGTACGCCACAGATGGATTGTGTACTTCCGCAATTTGTTCTTCCGAGTTTCCAAAGCCAAAAAAAGTTTATGATCAAATTTACGTTACCCGGCCACCCGTATACTAAATAGATATACTTTATTAGAAAAAAATAATATTTTTTCTGGACATATTTCTGCACTTTCGTGCATAAAAAATTATGCATTCACTCCATGAAATACTGTATTTGTATTTTAAGGATGTGCATATCAGACAAAAAAAGTATTTTAATCAAACTTATGCAAAAACATGTTGCTACTTGCTAAGTACAAAGTAGCAAGTATATTTACAAATAGGTCTTAATAATTTTAAAAAGGAATTTCTTGAACTTTTAAATCTGTATTCTTTAAATTTTAGAAAAGCTTTCTAAAATTTTGATTTTAATCCAGATCTGTACGCTCTGGATTAATATTTTGTACAATTTCGGAGTTATTAAATCTGAAAATAGTTTCAAATACGTACAGTGTTCCAATAAACATGGGAATTTAAGAGAACTTCGAGATCGTGCCAATAAATTTTTTTTAAGATTTATATTTTCCCATATTGCTTTAAGTGCACAGTGGATTGAGTTGAAAGTATTTGTAAATCTAGTGCAATTTTCAAGGGAAAACATTTGGCTTCTTGGATACTTTAAAGGTACACATACAGTCCACCTAACCTTACAAGTATTACTTTATCTCTCCTTCAAACAAAACTAGCCGAAAAAAACGGCAAATTAATTCTCTTCAGTTTCAGATTTGAAAAGTCTGCTAGCTCTGAGTTCTAGGGGAAGGGGCTACGCCCCCCTCCCCTTACAGGTCTAGGTGGGGCCCTTGGACCTTTTTTGTTTTCTCCCCCTTTATGATATTTTAAGAACGAACCGCATTTTATAGGTCGGACAATTCTGTTTTTATCTTCTACATAAACTATACAGTTTTCAAAATATGTTTGTTTTCATTACATTTAGGAATTCTTCTCCTCGTTGTTGGCTACTTGAGAATTTGGGACTTTGAAACAGTAAAATAAAATTTTGTCAGAATCCAATCCTAATTCAGATTTGAAGATTCCCGCCTACACAAGATACTTTAAAATTTAGTAAACTACTTGAACGAGGGGGTAAGGCAAGCTGCATCCGTATAGCCTCCATCCCGCAATTTACTCTCTGCACATAGAATTGCGGCAACGCGCTCACCCATAGCGCTTCCTTAGCCGCACCCCAATATCCTTCAAAAAATGTCTAGCACATTTCTCCTAAAATATAATATTAATTGTATTAATTGACGTTGTTCTTCTCTAAAAAAAAACATTTTGAAGGAAGAGAGAAATTCAATTTTTACCCTAAATAACACAGATTTGCGTGCAATTTGGTTTAAAATTATCTGAATCTATCTATCTATCTATTTACCTATCTGATTATTATACCTTGTCTATCTGTTCATCGTCAGAATCTTGTTCCTTTGCGACAACAGCGTTATTTTTGGTAAAGATTAAATTTCTTCTAACGAAGGTAAACATTTTTAGAAAAGATCAACATTGGCCCACATGTGCAAATATTACATTTTAGGAGAAAATCGTAATAAACCATAGTTTAACAAAAATTGTACAACTATTGCCCAAGTGAGCAAGAATGTTTACTATTATTACCAAAAAATATGATTAATATGTTTAGGTTATAATAGATGCCATGACGTCTTTAAATTTAAAATTAATGCTATAATTTTTTCTATAATAAGCATTTAAAAGTAAAGACATTATGCCAGAGGATATAGGGGTGCGGCGAAGGAAGCACTACGGGTGAGCGCGTTGCCGCACCTCTATGTTTGTGAGTAAATTGCGGGATGGAGGCTATACAAGTGCGGCTGGCCTTCCCCCCCCTCTTTGATCATTTAGAGAAGAATGGATTAAGATATTTGTCGAATTGTTATATTTAATATTTTACCAAGATATTTGGTTTAGTAAGTCTCTAGCATGGGACGGAATCAGTATCTAAATTTATTTAAATAAACCTGAATTCAAAAAATGGATTTTCTTCTAGTTTTGGAGGTTAGATTCGTTAGATACATTTCAATTTTTCAGCTATATGTATACAAGGGTACAAAAAGAGTTTGAAATATTTAAAAGTGCCGATATTCGACTTTAATTTCGTCTGACCTGGATCCATTTAAGGAGTGTCCGATTCACTGCAACGATAACCAATTTAGTCCTCTGTCTTAATAACAATAAGAAAAATATTATCATTTTCTGTCTTGGCAAGTATTAAATTTAACAAATTCTTCATTCTTCTTTAAAGCAAAATCCGTATGTTACTCTTACAGAGAAACTAAAATTGAAAAAAAGATTTCAGCTTGAAAAATAAGGATATCTCATTCATCCTCGATTTTAAGGTTTTAAAAGTTACTGCTGTGAATCAGATTTTAATTGTTATATATGCCGCTTGAAATTACTTCTACAGTCCATGTAAAAGATGATTGATTGATATTTATAGAATATTTACCGGATCAGTTCAGGCATCATCTGTCATTATCTATGGCAGACAATAAGGGAATTATCTTTATCAATCAGAAAAAAGGTTTTAACGTGATGATTTCGCCCTTTATGACCCTCCCTGCAGTAACTTTTAATAATTGAAACTGTACGAGCAAACAAAATGAAATCTTGTCCAATGAAACCTGATGGTGCAGATATTTTCACTTTGCCTATTTTGAACCTTTTTTTCCTCACAAAATCATACAAATAATGAAAAATGTAAAGTTCTAAAACTCAAGCATAATTGGAGGAAAAGATTTGGGTTATTTTTAAGAAAATATACACCCCTGGATTGTTAATGATAATGAAACCAGGGATTTCCAGAGCTCAATTGCACCCGGGAAAAAAACTGTAATTTCTGATCTGATAATTCTCCTCTCATATATCTGGTGAGTCAAATGATAATTCTCCTCTCATACATCTGGTGAGTTTGATAATTCTCCTCTCATACATCTGGTGAGTTAACTGATAATTCTCCTCTCATACATCTGGTGAGTTAACTGATAATTCTCCTCTCATACATCTGGTGAGTCAACATGGAGTAAAAATTACAAAACTATGGAATTGAGGCTTTGATACAAACCCAAAGTTTCTACGCCTAATGATTCACATTTTTAGGGGTTAATTTAAAAATCAAACAGTTCCCTGACTCAGTAACGCTAGCGATGAAAATTCTATCGAGATAAAAGTTGCCAAATTAATATCAAAATGTATAAAGGATAGATTTTTGTTCGGTTTCCAAAAGAATCCGAGCCCATCTGAAAGTTTTTTTTAAATATTTAGTGAAATGTTCCCCTGGATAGGATCCGTCCCGATGATACTTCGCGACATCTTTGGAGGTTTCAACTACTACTTCATCCTTCTAACCGTCTTCTTTCTCAAGGATTTATTCAATAAAAATCCAGCTTTTTTAAAGGGATCGTTAACGCATTTTGAAGTAATCCTCCCACTATCAAAATTATTGCACATTTTTTTTACTTTTCGATGATGAATAAATGTTATGTTTTACATCTTTGATTAGTATTGGATATAGTTTTTATCTGTTTTTTAAACATTTAAGCTTTTGGGGACTCAACGGCTTCTCTGATCAGAGCTGGGAACTTTTGAATGGTGGATATCGGGATTAAGGCTTGATCCACTCTTTTTCTTAATTTCTAGATTAAATAATGCTTGTTCTCCTCGACTTGTTATTAATCTCTAGATTAATTAACCGATCGGGATTAAGGATATCCCATTCTAAAGTTTTCAGCTCTGATCAAGAAGCTTAACCACTAGAAGTTATGGCACCGAAAAATCTATGTAACCTATTTTCGAGTCAAAATGTACATACAATGCAATTTGTGGTAAAAAAAAAAACACATTTGGGAATGATAAAACACATTTCGGTGATTTCTTGATGTTTAAATATTTTTTTTATGAAAAATGTTGAACGGTAAACGTCATGAATTGCTTATGTATGTTTTCATTGATTTTGGAAAAATTTAGATTAAAATAGCATAGGTTTTTTATTGTTTGTTATTAATTAGTTGAACTTCTATTCTATGTGTGGAATCTGGAATATTGTAACTACAGTTCGGTATTTCTACCTTCTAGGGTTTACAATCATACAGGTTGTTCAGTTTAGAGTTTGTTCTAATCTCTTTAACACATTTTTTTAACATCTAGTTAGTTTATTGTAACATTTTTTACATTTTGGTCGTCGTTATTCTCAAAATCATTCTTTAAAATAAAAAATCTATGAGAATTTTAAAGATTGAATTTGCGCTCTTGCTGAACATGCACTGTAAAAACATCTCATAGGTCTCAAATGAATCCTAAAATATTTCTCTAAAATACTGCATTCATAGCTCAACTACCATGCCTAGCTAGCCAGACACACCCTTTAAGGGACTGAATAATTTAAAATAATCCTCACAACAGCACCATTTAGCCCTTTTTCAGATCAAGCATAAATTTAATATCCTTACTTTTGTTGTCAAAAAAATTATTGATTTCCAATATTGGATTCTCACAAAAGAACTTACTTCATATTCCAAATGGTTTATAATTCCATAGAAGAGAAATAACACTTTGTTTGTTTCATTGTGAGGAGTAATAAAACTTTTGTTGAATTTACTTTTTAATGAATTTATTTTAAGAAATGATCATGTTATTTATGTACTAGAGTATTATCCATATCATTAAAATAACTTTTTTTTATTTAGGATACAAGGGATGAAAGCATCATAAAGATCGCCAAATGGGTATTTTTTTTCTTCAAATATTTGTTGTTGCAGATACTCATAATTCTATTAAATAATTTGCGACATTTATTTGTCAGTTTAATTTGACATAAAAAATTTCTGAAACAATATTGCATGTCAAAAATCAAAATATCCATAAATTGAGAACTGACATTTCTAAAAAACGGTCTGCGCCTTTTTTGTGCCGTCGTATGAACGAAATTCTTTATATCTCAAACCATTTAAAAGCACAGAAATAGTAAACCACATTTTGGAAATACCAGGACTACAGGAGTTATTTGGTTATTTTATATTAAAATTCGATGTTAAAATCGATTTGTAAAATGTTTTTTTTTATTTAAGTGCATTGTGTTGAACTACGTTGGAGGATTGACGTTAGATTTGATCATGGAGGCGGTTAACGTCTTCCCAATTGTTGGTCGGGTAGGTTTAACAGTTTGATAAATTTTTTGGCTATATTTAATTTCAGGTTTAAAATGTGCCATATAGTAAGAACAAAATTTGTTTTCAAAATTGTTTGTCTAAAAAACATTTGTTTTACTTACATTTTGCCAAATTTTGACACTGACAGGAAATGTAGGCAAAAAAAAAAAAAACTTATCTAAACCGAATATGTTAAAGTTATCTTTTTAGGATCGTTTAAAAAAATTAGGATTAAAATATTAAGCTTAATAAAAGCAATTAAACTTTGAATTATGACAGTTTTAAAATCTTGGAAGTTTTCAAAAAACGATCTAAAACGATCCAAAATGATCTAAAACTATCTTAAACGATCTTAAAGAATCTAAAACGATATACAACGATCTAAACTGATCTAAAACGATCTAAAACGATCTGAAACGATCATGGATAAATAAAATCTAGTTTAAACATAATTTTTCCAAGTCATATATACAGGGTTATCCACAAAGTATGAGACGGTAAAGACGATCTGAAACTCTTTAAATTTAACGATTCCGAGGTTAAAAAAAGGAAACAAGTTTGAGAGTTTCAGGGAATCATATATGTACACCTTTTTCACTTTTTAGGTTTTGTCAAAAAAAATTTAATCAAATGCTTTCTTACCAATACAATACAAAACTCAATAATTAATTACATAAAGGGTGTTCACACAGGCTTAATTATTATTCAATCATAAAGAAATTGATATCACAATGCCTGTAGGGTGTTAGGGCTACATGATTAAAAAATTATCGGATTTACTCAACACTGCACTGATTAAATGCTCTATATCTCTTGGGAATGAAACTGATCAGCCCACCTGCAAAAAAAAACATCAACAAAGCTGAAGGAGTTCCAGAACTTGCTTAAAAATGACAAAAATCTATTTAAAGATGTCTGATAAGCCTAAAACTCTTTAAAGATTTGTTAGTTAACAGATCACAAGTTGAGGGTGGAGCTAATATGACCAAACACCAGTTTGTTTGACACTCTAACCCACCATTTACAGGTAAATGCAGAACCAGTTCCTTCACTTCTCCTTTAACAAGGAGAACAGCTGCCGGGGGACCTTTAATTACTATAGGCATGATGGGACCATATGTTATTGCAAATAGGAATATACCTCTTTTCTAAAGCTTTTCCTTGTGTAAATCAACTCTAACTTGGTCCATGAGGGCTCAGCTTACTGGCAGGTTGAACCTTGTTAACAGCCACCATAACCAGCCTCTCATGCTATCAGCAATAGATTAAATCAAAGTTTGGGTTACACCTGACAATAACCAAGAAGTGAAATAATGAGAATATTTGGGCTATGGCAAAATATAAGGTTTACATCAAGGGAGGAAATGTGAAAACCTCTATCATCTAAACCAGTGTGGGGAGAATAGGAAATCCCAGCTGGGTAGGCTGATCAAATCCTTTCCCAAGAGATAAAAAGTATTTATTCAGAGCAGGGTTGAACAAATAAGATAAATTTTTTAAAAATGTAGTCTTAATGTCCTAGAGACAATGTGATAGAAATATCATTATAATTGGATAATAATTAAGCCTGTGAGAGAAAAAAGTGTAAATTGTTTTTTTAACACCCTTTACAGTAAGTTATTTAAAGCAAAACAGTAGTTTTTTATTCTTCAGTTTGTGATTCAGGTTTACAGGTTGGCTTACACCATTTTTTGTTGTAAACTTTTTTACCTAATTAAATCTTTTTTCTCATTTAAAAGTTTTGGGTTAAAAGTCTAATGTTAAATCTGAAGATTAGGTTGAATTGAATGATCTAACTTTTACTCCAAGACTAAAATTAAATTATTCAAATAAAGAGTTGACTTAAATTAATTCACCAGGGAACCGACTCGCATTATTAACAGATTTAGAATACAAAAGAATTAATCACAGGGTGGATTTGCGTTATATCTTGGAGATGAGGAAACCATTGCTGCTCTACCGGCCTACACACCACCCATCTCCAATATTATCACTTTACCCCTCCTTGGCTTTACAATTCTTTACCAGGTGATTTTAATATTTCTTTACCCCTGATTGGCTTTACAGTCCTTTACCAGGTGGGTTTAATATTTCTTTACCCCTGATTGGCTTTACAGTCCTTTACTTGGTGGGTTTAATATCCCTTTACCCCTAGTTCGCATGACAATCCTTTACCAGGTGGGTTTAAAACAATTCTTTACCAGGTGGGTTTAAAACAACCCCTTTAGCCCTGGTCAACTTTAAAATCCTTTACCAGGTGGGATCCCTTTATCCCAGGTCAACTTTACAATACTTTACTAGGTGGGTTAAATACTAATCCTTTATCGCTGGTCAACTTTACAATCCGTTACCAGGTGGGTTTAATATTATCCCTGGTTAGCTTTAAAATCCTTTACCAGGTGGGTTTAATATTATCCCTGTTTAGCTTTACAATCCTTTACCAGGTGTGTTTAATATTATCCTCTTTATCCCTGTTTAGCTTTACAATCCTGTACCAGGTATTGTTAAAATTATCACTTTACCTCTGGTTCGCTTTATAATCCTTTACCAGATTGGTTTAATATTATCCCTTTACCCTTGGTCAACTTTACGATCCTTTACCAGGTGGGTTTAACATTTTCACTTTACCCCTGGTTGGCTTACCAATCCTTTACCAGGTAGGTTAAATATTATCACTTTACCCCTGTTCAGCTTTACAATCCTTTACCAGATGGATTTAATATTATCCCTTTGTCCCTGTTCAACTTTAAAATCCTTTGCCAGGTGGGGTTGATATTATCACTTTACCCTTGGTCAGCTTTACAATCCTTTACCAGGTGGGTTTGATATTATCTCTTTACCCCTGGTCAACTTTACAATCCTTTACCAGGTGGGTTTTAAATTATCCCTGGTAAGCTTTACAATCCTTTACCAGGTGGGTTCGATATTATTCCTATATCACTGGTCAACTTTACAATCCTTTACCAGGTGGGTTTAATATTATCTCTTTACCCCTGGTCTGCTTTACCAGGTAGAACGTTTTTATTAAACATCTAATTTTTAATATTTTATTATATTAACATTTTAATTTTTAAGAATTAAAAATTTCGCAGATTTTCCCTTTTTCACCTTTCAGTGCAGGTGGATTTTCTAAAAAAAATTTAACCGAAACTGTTTCCGGAAAACTTAGATTTTCGTGGTTAAATATATAGATTCCACAGAAAATATGGACCTGATCGGTTTAGTCGATTTGGCTTCAAACAAAGAAACAGACGAACCAAGAATTAAATATTAAAGATAAAGATTAGATAAAGATAAACGTAATTTCTTGATTTTTCTAAATATGCACTGAACTCAGAATTGTTGTAATCTCATAATTTCATTCTCAATATTTCTGTTGGATCTTATATAGTCCTGATAATGTTTTTATTTCTCTTCTTATATTTTATATTTCTGTTTAATTTGTCTTTTTATTAAATTCTAACAAAAATAACTTTTTTTCTATTGTAAGATATCTCTGTATCCAGCTAAGTGGCTCAAGTTTCGTCAGGTAAAATTATTTTCTCAGTTTTTATATTTGGTTTTAATTTATGTAATCTCCTTGCACGCGTACAATATTAAATCAATTGTTTTTCAGGGGCGTACGATAGCATTTGTGAAGGGGGGGGGCATTTTGTTGTGCCACCCCACCCCTTAGCAAAATAGTGTCCCCCCTTAAAAACCCATTTTTGAAAAAATATTGATACCTTTTTTAACTATGTAATCTATTCGATCATATACACACTTCCATATTACAAGTGTTAATAGATTATTTATTTGATTTTTTTTAATTGGACTCATCAGATAATCCCTCTTAATAGAAAAATAGAGATAAAACGTTTCTAAAAAAACATCTATATATTTTCATAGGATCGTCACATATTGTTTTATAAATTATGATATCAAATATATATTTACACTGAACTGAAGGCAGTATTGAATAAAGATTTTTTAATGAAAAATGTTTTTAGTAACGGGCAAAAGTGAGATTTTAAAGTAGTTTGTTCATACGATGTAATTATACTTAAATGGAATAAATGCAAAATTTTAAGTGACCCTCCATTTATAGAGTGGCATGTCCGATGTACTTTTGAAACCATTGAAGGGTATTGTTGTGTATCAGAATATATTTTATTTCTTTTCTTAATCTTTTAGTTTGGGAGAGTGCAATGCAATGCAATGTAGAATGTACATTGCCTGAGGAAGGGAAATGCAAGCAGATGTAATATTAAAAGAGCCCCCCCATGGGTCCCCCCCCCTCAGGGGTGGCACGCATTGGGGGGGCTCGGCCCCCCCTCGTGCGCCCCTTTCTCCTATATATAAATACAGTGATAACCAGAAAACTGTAAAATAGAAAGACGACATTTTAGCAAGTCTGAATGGATTTGATTTTGTTACAAATTAAATATCTCTACTATAAGTTATTAAATCACTTGTTTGGTGAAATGGATCTGTTTACACTGCACAATTGCTGGACTATTTAAAGTCATATCTTGAGTTTAAAAGTTGACTTTATATTTCAGAGTTTTCTGGTTATCACAGCATATTTTACGCTTAGTTTTTACATTTATCTATTTGTTAAAAAGGATTAATGGAAAATACTTCACAATACAAATTCTGCCTGAAAGGAAATTACTCTTTGAAACTTAAGTTAGAGACAAGTGCGTTAAATTTTTAAAATGTATATGCCAAGGGCTACAAAGTATAAGTGAGTTGATGAGGTAAAACTAAAGACCAAGGCGTTGCGACACTTTGAAGCCACGGCTGTCTAAATATTTGATGACATATTCAGGGGGGGGGGGCTATCGGGGCAAAGCCCCCTCCCTGAACCAGTGAAATCTATTGATTTCAGTGGGTTTTCAGGCCCCAACCGTGGCTGAGCCCCTCCATGCCCCCCCCTTGGAAAGAAAAAAATCTAAGTCCCCCCCTGGACAAATTCCTGAATACGCATTACGCACCTGGTCTATATTTCAGTGAATGTAATATTGGCCAAGTTACTTCCAAGTTGAATTGATATCAAACAAAAATATCCTTTTTTAGAAGAAACAACTAACAGTTTTTAACTTTAATTATTTTAATTAAATTTTACAATATTTTCAAATTTTTATATGATATCAGATGGAAATATTTAGATATTTCTATATTTCTTATATATATCCTTTGTCCATCCTTCAATCATACTTTGGCTAATTTTGAAAATAAAAAGAAATGAATTTGTTGGATGTTCTTGTAGTTAGCCAAATTGCAAGAAAGAACTATTTGTCTGAACCCTGTATCTCGGAACTATTCTGAATTCTTGAAGGCACAAGGGGGGGGTAAGAGAGCCAAGGTCACTACCCTCTCCCATTGCATTGCTTTCATATTTTTTTTGAGTCAGCTCTTCCCCTTCTTATTTTCCTGTTCAAAGTTTTCTTATTCTTTCTTGTTTATCTTGTTTAAAACTTTAAGACCTTTCCAAATAATTCTTTTGACATAGAGTTGTGGAGCAGGTAGGAGAGAGATAATGAGGTTTGTGGGAGGATGGGTACAGGGAAGTGCTCCCTGTTGTCCTTCTTTATTATACTCTTTCCAAACTAAGGGGGATTAAGGAAAACCCATATCTACACCCCTGCAAAATGGGGAATAGTGAGCCCTAAAGCGCTCTTGAGAGGAATCTTCCATTGCAGTCCACACCAAACTGAAGATGAAGTTTTGTTTTAATCTATGTACTAGAGATGTCAACGATAGTGTAACGTAACGTAAAATGTACGTTTTTGTACGTTACGTTACAATAATGTGTAACGTTTGGATATATTCTATATAATGTGAACGTTAAATGTTAACGTTATAGGAGCTCATACCTAACGTTAACGTTAAACGTTAACATTAGAGGAATATACCCGCAACGTTAGCGTTTTGTGGAAATGTAACGTTATTTTTCTAATATCTACAACTTTTTTGACCATAACGTAAAGAATTGTTTTATTTCCAAGGGGAGCTTGAAAGTCTAACGTTTGAATAATGAATTGTGATTTGATTGAATATTGTAACGAAAGGATTTCTATTTCAAAGTTCAACTTATAAAAAGTGTAACGTTGTATAAATGAAAAATGTATAGCTGTTTATGAAAACGTTTTGAAACGTTTTCCCTTAAAGTATAATGAAAAATTCAACGTTGCAGAAATGGGTTATTATTTTAATAATCAGGAAACGAAAGTTTTTTTTACAGAGTAAAATTTCAATAATGTGACGTATAACATTTAAAAAAATGTAATTCTGTAAATCATAATGTTTCATAACTTTTCTCTGAGTACTAAATTGATTAGTCTAACGTTAGATATATGTCTGATGAAAATGTTGTTCATAAAATGTTAGACTATGAGGGCTGAGTTTTAATTTCAAAAGTGTAACACTAATTTTGTCAATCATAACATTTCAAAACGTCTCTAATATATCAATGTAAGAGATTCGACTGATGATTATAAGAGCAAAGACTTATGGTTTTTCATTTCAAGTTTAAAGAAAATGAGCTTATGCCACAAACTCTTATTTTCATTTAATATATCTTTGCAACCCGAAGTCGTAGACCATTAATATTGAAATATACAAGGTTTAAACCATCGGGTTGGAAAGATATAGGGATTAGTAAATTTGAAAAAAAACTAAAGTGTAAACGAGTTTTTTTGTAAAGATCTTAAACCAAGTGAAAGTGTAACGTAAGGTCTCTGAAAATATTTACCTTGCATGAAAGTGGAACGTTAAAAAATTGTGGTTTCATTACATAAGCTTTAACGCAACGTTGGGAAAATTTTTTAAAGCAGGAAATGCAAAAGCGTAACGGAGCTTACTGTTTTTCACAACATTTACTAAAGCTTAACGTTGTATAAGGTATTCAAGTGCAGAAAATTCATTACGTAACGTTACTCTATGCCATAAAATTTCATAATGTGCAATGTAACGTTTCAAGCGTTAATACTTTTGATGAACATTATCGTAACGAAAGCTAAAATCTAAAAAAATCAAAACGTTGACATCTCTACTATGTACAATTCTTGCTTTCCCTGTAGGATACAAGATGTGTAACTAAACTTAGCGCTTCTTCAGCTGTAATTCTGGACCATATATGATAGGTCCGCTCTCCTTGGAGGCAGTCAGGCAACTGATAATATTAATATTAACTTATTTTAATTGAAAGATATAAAACTGCACAATGAAATGAAATTAACTGAAACCTTATTTTAGACACGTAAAGAATTTAAAAAATGGGATAATATATTATGTTTAAAACTAAGGTCTACACTCATACAACATTGTTTTTTTTTTAAGATATGGTATTACAGAAAATCAGAATTTGTTGCAAAGACTCAATTCCTTTTGACCAAAAAAAAACAAAAAACTCCAAAGTATCTATAATGAGAGGGATTTTAAAATAAAATAATTTCAGTCAAACATTAAATTTCATATTCATGATATACAATCATAGCTAAGTACTTACTCAGGAATGTATATAATATTTAAATATTTGAATATTTATTACCTAAGTAATTACTCAGGAATGTATATAATATTTAAATATTTAAATATTTATTACTGGGAAAATTGTCATATTTGCTACATATAAAACCACACTGAGGCGATATAAATAGAACGGAATTTTCTTCAGAATATTCATCCCGGCTTAGGTTAAGCAATAGTTACCTCAATATTGTATCTCTATAACTCCACTCTAAGCTTTTGATGCGCACTGCAGTATCTGCTTGGCAGTAAACTGCACCAAAGTAAAAGTGGGTTTTAGCGAAGAGTCAATCTACCACTGAAACTCAATTCCTTTATAAAGGAATTGAATGCTTGACACACGATATAATTTTCTAATCTTTATATCTGTGTAACCTGATTGCGAAAACCTTTGATGTTTCAAACTTTAATTAGCTGATATAACATAGTTCTATATTATTAACGGACAACCACATCAGGTTGCTAAGATTATATGGTTAGAAAAATGAGAGTATAGCGCATTTTGAACTAACCAGGGCTGGCTACATTCGGCTTCTTCGATATAAGTTTATTTGCATTTTGGTAATTCAACAATCTTTAAATTTAGAATATGCTTTTCATTTAAAACTAATCCACGACATCAAAAGTATAAAAGAGAAACTAATATTATGATTATTAGTTGGTCAAAGTGTAATCGAAGTCACTGCTTGCATTACCAATGACCGTTAAATCAGCGTGGGCGAGTGATCATGAGCTGGGAACTCTTGTATTGTGAATATTGAGATCAATGCTTGATATCCATCTTTTGTTAATCTGCAGATTAATCTCTAATCTTTTTTGATATACCGCATGGTAATTGCACTCAGTCAGGGGTTGAAATGAACTTTGAGTAGGGTTTCCACGAAATGACTATAATTTTCGCGCAATTTTTTTTGAGACTTTTGCGCAATTTTTGCGCATGAAACAATGAGTTTTGCGCATTTTTTTGGGGCAATTCGCACAAAACCGAAAATATTTTTTTGCGAATTTTTGCGCATGAAACGAAAAGAATTTGGCGCAATTTTTTGAGCAATTCGCGCAAAACCGCAAAACAACTTTTTAAGCAAATTGACGAAAATTGAAATTTTAAGCACAGAATTAAACAACTAAAGATTTAATCAACTTTGAGAGACTGAGAAACTTTATTTAAATTCTTTTTAAATTAATTTCAAGTGATCCTCCACAGATGACAATGCTCAATTCACAACGGTACCCTTAAAAACTGCCTGATCAAGTATGAATTAAATATTAAATTTTATAAATCATATTTTCCGAGATATTTTTAATCCCATATAAAATATGCAAGAAAGTAACCGCTTACTGAAGAATCAGGCTAAAGCTAAAATTGGGTTGCCAGCTGTTTGAAAAGGACAGGGCTAAATTGAGATTTTTTTAGGCTTCTTTTAGTCCTCTCTAGGCTACTTTTTTATGCTTGAATTTACAGTTTATTTCTCAAATAATACTAATTTTGATGCTTATTTAATACATTTCATACTAATTTAATACTAATATCACTCATTTTATCTCAACATATTAATAACTAATTGAATGTACAACAAATAAAAATTTAACAAAGTTTTTTTATTTATATTTAAGAACCTTATTTTTTCATACTTAGTCTTTGCTATGGATAAAGATATTTGTTGATATATATATCGAATAAAGTTTACACGAAGCCCCAAAAGAAATGTATTTTATTTGCTGAATTTTTGGGGAAAAAAGTATTAAAAAGAATTAAAAAGATTAAAAAACTTGCCATTTTATGAAAACGCTACTTTTAGGCCAATAATTCAATAAAAAGGTGACCTTAAGGCTACTAATGCAAAAGACATTCTGAAATCTAATTAGGCTACATTTATGAAAATTGGCCGCGCAACGAAAGAAAAATTTTGCGTTTAGTTCTGAAAAAATTGCGAATGGAAACCCTAGCTTTGATCAGGAGGAGGAATAGAAATTATAAGAAATTACTGAAATGAAGAAAGTATAAGCATTGATCCTCAAATTTAAAGTGCTCATAGTGGATATTGAGATCAAGCAATCGGGATTATCAGTAACAACACAAAAATTCCCATCTCAGTTCCTTTATTAATTTTATCTATTCTCATTTAAGGTAATGAATGCCGAGGCTGCCGCTGCTGATAACAGGATCCTGAAGAGCACCGCGAATGCATTCAGTGCGTTCGCCAGCTTCATGGCCATGATCTTCATGGCCGTCTATCTCGGCAACCACTTCTACATGTAATATTTTTCATTATTTAAAGGGACACTCGACCTTATTTCAAGTTACAGGCCTTGATTTACAACGGAACCTAAACTAAAAGCAATGGAAATATCCTTATTTTTTATCTGAAAATATATTTTTTTAATTTTGGTTTCTCTAATTTCAGAATTTCCCAGACCCGTTATAAAAAAGAAAAACGACATTCTACACCTCCTTAGACAGATTGTTTTTAAGATTTGGACTTGAACGGCTGATAGAGCTAATAAAGATTGTATTTATTGTATATATTATTAAAAGGTCTGATTTCATACAATGGAGTCATGTTTGTTTATATACGGTTTTAGGTATTTTCTCAAGGGCGACTTCTTAAGTGACAATTTCCCAAGTGGCAACTTCTAAAATGTTTAATTTCCCTAGCGGAAACTTACCAAACTTAGGCCATCTGAGGCGCCGCAAGCTGCAATTTGGGGCCGAGCACAGTGGCAGGATGGGCTCTGGGGCTGAACGCTGCAGTTAGGACAAACTTGGAAAAATATCCTTGGGAAGTTGCCGCTTGTTAAAAAAAATATATTTACTAACCTTTTATTGATCTAATTATTGTCGAATCAATATCTGAAACCCAAAACTCAGACCAGACAATGTTTCCAAGATCGTTTCCAAGCGAATTTTAGAAAATTGCGGTTTTAACAGGATCACTTCCGATCTATCTTGAAATAAAAGTTTTGTTATTGAATAGTATGTTCGAAACCCAACCCGGAAATCCTGAAAATATGGTCGAGCTGAACCAAAATGAATCCAAGGTAAACAAATTGAGACAGAAATCCATAGAGAGCATAATTGTTATGGCTGACATTAGTCGTAAAAATAAGGGTAAAGCTATTTCATTGAAAATGTCGAATCCTTTTGCACCAGCAAAAAATCATACAATTGCAAATTCGTTGCAACATTTATGAAAGAAAAAAATTGAAAAAGAAGTTTAATAATTCTAAGTTTGCCCAAGGAACAGTTATAGTTTTGACTTTAATGAATCGTTTATAATATTAGAATATCTTTCAGAAATTTGAGAATAATTCCTTTTTACAGAACGTGACCAACACTCTGGAAGACGACGAAAAGACGGTCATAAACAATTTTTTCTTACATTTACCCTCTTCAACCCGAAAGATTTTATATGTATTTCGGGGACAATTTTTTGCATTTTTTGTAATTTTTATTTTGTAAGTTGTACTTTAAACAAAACATTTTAATAGGGTTATAATTACAAATAGTTTGCCAGAGCCTGATTTTAAGAGACTGTACCTTCAACGAACTCCCAGTTCTCTTTTTGTGGTCTTCACATTTTTGTAAATTAAAATTTTTAAAAATCAGAAAACAAAAAGAGAATGAAAAGAAACCACGTGAAATACTTTATTTTAACAGAATTATTCGTATCTACAAAACTGTCTGACTCCATTCATGAAACCGGGTTCCGATACTGGGTTTTATTGCGAAACTTTGCTTTAAGTTTCAGGCTCAGACGTATGAAATAAGCATTTTAGGTTTTTTTATTAGGGGCTAAAATCTCTGTTTTAGAATTTGTAAAATCTCTAAATGCTTAATATTAACTTTATAAAGTATTCTTTTTATTCATTTTCTGTATGAACTGGATTGTACGAATGCTGTGCTATTCTCAATTTTAAATTAAAAGTATAAGCACCACCTCTTTTTTAGGATTTATCCTACATGTTTCCTTTGCGCCTTGGTCTTACAACCTTCAGCTACCTGGTCCCAGGTACATAATTTACAGGGTTAAAATAACAGAATTTACAGGCCTATACAACAGCAGAATTTACGGGGATAAAACAGCAGTATTTGCAGGGATAAAACAACAGAATTTACAGGGTTAAGAATTTAAAGGGATAAAACAGTAGTATTTACAGGCAGTGGCGTATATAAGGGGGGTTATTGGGGTTATTTACCCCCCCCCAGAATCCTGGGAGTAAATACCCCCCCTAGAATCCTGGGGGTAAATACCCCCCCCAGAATCCTGGGG